AAAAAAAAAAAAAAAAAAAAAATTATCACTTTTATGGGTCAATGCCTCTAAAGTCAGAGGCAAAGTTAGCTTGTTGTTGTTGTTTTTCCTGCATAATTTAAAGAACTTGAGAGTCCCTGCTTTGGAAATCCAAAATTGATCATAACCAAGCTGTGTTTTTGTTATAAAAATACGTTTGTTGCCATGAAGAAAAAAGACCTTAGTGATGATATCTGATTTAAAAAAACGAAGCTCAAGGCGTGATATGAACATGAAATAATGCAGTGAAACCTGCCCGTATTTCTTGGGTGTTTTTAATGCTATATTCTCTTGTTCCCACAGGATCAGAAGAGGAGTCTGGGGTGTGAGACTTTTTCTCATCCCTATCGCTGCCCAAGGAGCCACAACGGAAAAAGTTCTTCCTAAATGTCACCAATAATGCCTTTAATTCAAGCAATTTCCCAGCTGCCTTTTCAGGAGGATTCCCATCTTCAAATAATGATATATCTTGCTTTTGAAAATAATTACAAAATATTTGATATATGTTTTAGTTTCCCAATCAACAACCAATGGTCCTGCTTTGGGCGTAGAGCCCACATGAAGTGAGACTGCATCACCTACTCTTTTTCTCGTTTTTTATTTTATACAGTGTAACTTGATTTCTTGTAGAGGTACTTCCCATTCATCTAAGCAGTCTTTGCCTTCCCGCCCGCTCGCAGCTCAGAAAAGCTTTTCTCTCCATCCTACCTCAGCTCAGATTTCTTAAAAAGCCTCACACAGGGGGTCTCTAAAGGTACTGCTGTAGTATTTTGATGTATTGATGTAGCTTCCACAAACTCAACCAATAGTTCCCTTTTTGGCCGTCTGGATTGTTCAAAAACGGAGAGAAAGCTTTTCATGCTCAGCCCCTAAAACCAACGACGAGCATTGGCCGAGGGTCGCTCAGCCTGGCACGGGCCTCAATCTTTCATTATTTCAGTAATGGCAGCTGTTTTGGTCTCTTTTTTTTCTATTTTTGTTGTTTGCAAGGTTTTTATCTCTTTAAAACCAGCCGGTTTGACTGAATTATGTGATGGTCATTACAAGCTATTGTCATGTTTTTTTTTATCATTTCTCGTGCTTGTGGTTACTTCAATGCTGCTCAAAGAAAGGCTTCATCGGACGGAGAGTAATCACATCCTCTGATTTTTTTAAATCTTTTTAATTCAACCTGACTTTATACTTTTCATTGCCAAGATTACGATTTCCTCTCGTCTTCCTGTAAAACAAAACATAGCTGCTTGTAGTATAACTGCAGTAAAGCCATGTAACGGTACCTGGTAAAAGTATTCACCTTGTTGACATTTCCAGATGTTCAAACCACAAATTGTCATATTAGGATTTTTTTTTTTTTTTTGATAAACCAATACAAAAAAAGCAATACTGTGAAGTTTAAGGAAACATGGTTGAAGGATGAGTATTTTAAAAAGGTGTGTGCATTCAGCCCTGAAGTCAAACAGAGTCAAGAACATTTAAAGTCGGTTACAAAATCACTTAGTTTTATAAAGGTCGTATATCCACTCTAATGGGGATGATTAGAAAGACGGTTGTTAAGCCAGCCCTGTTTAAGTTTTACCCCAATTTGCTTAATTTGAGAAACGATGAAGAATTTTTAAGGTCAAAATACAGCATGGTGGGTATTAAAGCTCTGATGCTAACTTAAGAGCTTTGGATCCGTTGCTGAATGAGTCATGTGACCAAGAGAGCCGCTTTATAACACTTGGAGCTAAACTTAAACACTAGAGCTAACCTAACATGCCTCTACTGGCCCAGGGAGGCAAATTGAGGAACACTATGGCTGTGTCCGATTGTCCGCCCTAACCACTGCATAGGGGACTATAGAGTGTCCGAATATCTAGTGGATGATAAAGTAGTAGACTCAAAATTTCCCACAATGCACCTTGAAAAGTAGGGATCATCCATGATCACTAGACGAGGTGATATAACTTGGAATTCTTTGTGAGGAGAGCTCTCCTCGCAAAGCATCATGGGATTTGTTGTCCCACTGTCGCCCATGGCTGTTGCTACCCGACAGCGGCGACAAATAATATAGATGGGGCGTGCGGGGAGGCGGAGTTACATGACCAATTGGGAGCGAAAAGTAGTGACCATCTGTCCGCAGTTCACTATACAGTCCACTATATAGTATAGTGATTGAGGGATCTAGGGGTTAGGGCGAACGTTCGGGCACAGCTTATGTCTGAGGAAACCAAAAAAGAAAAGCGAGACAGTGATCGACCTTGAAGACAAAACAAGAGTTAATCTAGCTAAAAAAATGTAGGTCTTTGGTGCTGGATAAAAGGGGAGTTAGGATGTTAGACTGGTAAATTAGCTTTTTATCTACTGCATATGTCAGAGTGTATTTTTCCGTTTTGGAGGAGCTAAATGCTAAGCTAGCAGGCTACACAACAGTATGAAAAAAAAAAAAAAAACAGACATGACCTTTATGTGATCAGATATATGGTTTGGTTCTCTGATGTAGGATTTAATCAAAAGCGGTGAACTCAGCCTTGTCTTTAACAGTAACTCCATAACTTCTGCTGGTCCAAAATGGGCTGAAACCAGATTCCAAATCACAGAGACGATGGTTATTTCTTTAGCAGTGCACTGTTGCCAGTTTTCTTTTAGAGATTTGAACCTCAAAGTTCCAGGTTTAGCGCACCCTAGTGGCTGAACGTTTTATAAAGCTGCTTTAAGAAAAGCATGGCTGAATTCGAATTCAGGGGCTGCGTCCTCCAAAGGCCCGATTCGTAGGCCGATTATGTCACAGCGCGGCGCCGAGGCCTGCTTGGATTCCTAGACTCCTTGTTATGCGGCCGACAAATGTAGCCTTCTTTTCGCCTTATCTAAAGGACCGGTCCGGTGTATCCTACGTAGCCTTGGATATCCCATGATTCATTGCGAGTCCAAGCAAGCTGGTTGTTCCGTGATCAGAGGAAAAAGATACTTTGAGCCGAATGGTGGTGAATATTGGAAGTGCAGTTTAATATAATACAAGTATGTGTACAATTCCGTCTGAAATTAATGAAAATAGTTATTTTAAATGGTTATTGAGTCAGATATGTGGCAGGTAATATTTGGTTTATTGAAATGTTTTTATCTGTCCCTGTGTAAATGGGCAGGGCTCATATTTAAGGACAGATTCTAATACACCTGATTGTTGGGGACTATAAATCTGATATGATGCAGCTTTTGAAGCTCCTCGAAAATGTTATCAACACCCAGAACAGCAGTAAGAAGTTCTGTATTCATTCTTCTCCTGCTTTGTGCGTCAACTGTCACCGTTGCTAGGCAACAGCGCATACGGCGGTAAAAGCCGTGGAAGGCTTTTACCGCCAATAAGGCAGATAAATCGGGTCCTTGGAGGATGCAGCCTTTGAAATCAAACACACCCTATAAGTGGTGCTGTTTGGAGTTTTCCACATGCCGTTTAGGAGCCAAACGTGTGAAAAAGGATCCTCTGGTCAGTCAAGAACAAAATGGAAGCATGGTGGTGGCAGTATCATGCTGTGGGGAAACTTTGCTAGTGCTGCTGGGTAATATAGAACATTCTGGAAGAAAATCGGTTGGAGGGAAGAAACAACTTGATAAGTCGGTTAAAGTTTAACCTCCGGTCAGGAAGCAACTAGAACGAGGAGAATCAAACTACAGAATATACAGCAGACTTAAAAATGGCTGTCTGTGGATTCTCTCCCTTTAGTGTCTGAGCTGTTTATTCATGAAATAACTGAAGAAACTTGAGGTGACCAAAGCTGGTTAAGGTATACACCAACTGACTTCCATTTAAAATGGCTGATAATAAATTGCCACACCTTAAGATCTTTATTTGTAAAAAAAAAAAAGTTAGAAAAACCACTTAACAACAAGGCTCCACTTTGTGTATGTTGATCACCTGGAATAATATGGAGATGAACGTTTGCTGTAATGTAGTAGAATCTGGAAGAGCTAAGGGGGTGTGAATACTTTAGCGGGGTGTTACAAATGGCCTTACACAGTTAGCCAGTTGTTCTCCCTGGTTTCCAACAGTGAAGAAGGTGCAAACACTTTTAGGATGTCATTTGGAAAGATAATCCGAGCAGACCTCAGCAACACTTTTAAGTCCAATAATTTTTACGTTTTGGTTTTTTTTTTTTATGTAAAAAAAAAAAAAGAGAAAAAAAATGTGTGATTGAGATATTTGTTACCTCTGATTAATCTGCTGACCGTTGGAAAAAAAAAATGCATTTCAAGAAAACAGCTGAACGCTCAAATGTTTAGAGGAAAGTCAGCCTCACTGCTCCATTTGAATCTGGATTTTCTACTTAAATCCAGCAGAAATAAGCTGAGATCAAACAAATAAGAATCATGTTTAAGCACATTCTCTGAAAGGCTCAGTGAATATGTGAAGGGGATGTTCTTGTTTTTTGTTTTTATTTTCAGCTGCGGCTGAATAAGGGCGTGTGGAAACTGCAGAGTAACCAGTAGCACTTAGGAAAAAAAAAAAAAAACCCTCACATGTGCCTTATTTACTCAAACTAAATCAGGAAGCTCCCAACAACAACAACAGCTCTTACCTGCCCAACCAAAGAGGCAAAGTCTTGAACACAGTGTATTTGTCGTGCCTTTTCCTCCCCCTCCCTTCCTTTGGCTTTCTTTGTACGCTGACAAGAGAAAACATGTTCAGATTGAAGTGGTAATAATTTTGGGCGACCATGCAGAATCTATCACCTGCAGATACCTCACTTTGAATGTGCCTCCAGCTAAAGCACGGGGGAGGGGGCGCTTAATCCTTTTTTTAATTGTGCCCAATCCTACATGGAAATGACTGAATAACAAGAAGCACTTTGGCTATAAGATTTTATACTGAAAGTAAAAAAAAAATATATATATATTAATAAAAACAGATTCTAGTATAGTGCGAGCCAGCCCTAAAATAATAAGCATGTGAAAAGTAGCATTTATCACAGAAAATCAGGCACCATTTCATCCTGTTCAAGATCTTTCTCTTTGTGTTGTTTGTGTGTTTCTGTTTTGTTTTGTTTTGTGTGTGTGTTTGCAAAAATAAGGAGCTGAAACTGCCTTTTCGGTATAAACTCGAGAGAGAAAAAGTGGTCCCTCCAGAAACGTTAAGGGATATATCAGTATATTTTGGATACTTTGTGTACAAAAGAGAACAACAAAACCCAGAAATAAAATAGTGTTGTATTTTATATATAATAGAACAGTTCAATATAGTGACATGTCACTAATATATTTATTTACTAATATATTTATCCATTTTTGTCCAGGTTTGAAAGAATGGTTTCTGTATAGACTGAATGTTTCTGTATAGAAACTGACCGGCGCCATTGCAAATATATCAACCTGTCTTCATTCCAATTATATGCAAATAAATTATTTTGAAGTAAAGATCTGTGAGTTTTTATTTATTTAGCTGAGGTATCATTGGGGGAATATTTTTATAGGTTTATCCCCTATCATTCCTCCTTTGCCATGAAATCCTCCTCTACCAGACTAACCATCTATATGTTCTCTTTTCTATGTCTTACAGTTTATATCTAGATAAGCTGTATTTTCCATCTACTGCAGTTTCATTATTAGCAGCATTTCTGTCTAAATCCTACGGAGTTAGTTTTTTTCCATTATTGTTAAAAGCAAAAACAGATTTTGTTGATGGAAATTGGAAAAATAAGATAAAAAAAAAACACCCAATCCAGAAATAAAACCTTAAAAACTTTTGAGAGTAGCTTTTGGCGTTTTCAAAAATTTTATGTGTTGTCTAGTTTTTTTTTCAACTTTTCTTTTTTTTATTTTTACAGATTTAGAACTTCCAAGTTGTTGGGTTTTTTTTATATCAAATTACTTGTTTTCTGAAAGAGTTTTACTTCAAAAACCATAAAAATACGCATATTAACCAATAGAAATGTTGATTTTATTTGCAGATTCT